TCCACATGTGAAAATCTTTTGGGAAAAGGTAATAAATCTGTTGAGTCAAATTATTGGTGATGTGATTCCACTTCATCCTAAAATATGTATTTTAATTATATACCCGAATAATTTTGTACCTGCTGCAAACAATAGAGCTCTGTTAACGATTGGACTTTTGGAAGCCAAGCACAGCTGTATTGCTATGTGTTGGAAAAATCAAAAAATATGTGGACTATCTCAATGGCGTAATGGACTGACAGCTATATCTATGGAGAAAATAACTACTACTAGTTTCTGTTGTTGTTGTGGTTTTGTTTTTATTTATTTATTTATTTTATTGTTTTACTTTATTATTTTTTATTTATTTATTTATTTATTATTATTATTATTATTTTTTATTTTTATTTATTTATTTATTTTTTGCTCATGGTGCACCATGTAAAACCGGTTAAAACCAATAAATAAATGTTAAAAAAAGAAAGAAAATTTAATTTCTGTTTAAACATCTGTTTAAATTGATTCTTTATATTTGCTTGGCTTCTAATCCTCCTGCATGATTTCAATAGATGGTTTTGTGGGGGTGTCCCTCGCTGAAGGCATACTTCCATCCCCGTCCATGACCTGGATAAAAATGTCATCCTCAAGGAAAAGTGGGAGAGTTGATCACAGCTGTCTTGAAATTGCACTGTAGTAAGTGGCAAATGAAGCTTTACGAAACACTGAAGCTTGTACTGACATGGGTTCTCTGCTCGAAGCGTTTCCATACATACTACATTGTTAATCTGAGTATAGCATCAAGTCAATTAAGCTTTGTATTAGAGGAGGTTATTAATCAGTTTCAGCTGCTTTGTTGTTAATGAAATTACCAACAGGTGCACTATATGGCAAGGATAAGAAACCCACATCAGAGGAATGGTGGAGGCCACTGACAATTTTCTCCTCATCTTTTCCAGCAGTTTTTTCATAGGTTTATATTTGAATATGATCAATGTCACTACTAGCGATGGGATTTCCGGCTCTTTTTAGAGATCCGGCTCTTTCGGTTCGGCTCACTAAAAAGAGCCGGCTCTTTCGG